AAAACAAGCCAGTCATAAAAGGACATATATGATTCCACTTTTATGAGGTACCCAGAGGAGTCGAACTCATAGAAACAGAAAGTAGAATGGTGGTTGCCAGGGGCTGGGGGACAGGGGGAGGGAAGAATGGAGAATTATTGTTTAATGGGGACAGAGTTTCAGTTTGAAAAGTGGAAATAGTTCTGGAGATGGCTGGTGGAGATGGCTGCACAACAATGTGAATGTACTAATACCACTAAACTGTACACTTAAAAATGGTTACAGTGCTAAATGTTATGTGTATTTTACAATGAAAGAAGGCAAGAAAGTGAATTGAGACTTATCAATCAAAGTATACTTAAATATGAGGACACTTTTAAAAGTGCATGGAAAGATTCGTATTATCTTTCAATTCTATTTTTCCACGAAATTTTTAAGGTACCGTCGTACATGATTTTTCACACCTGAAAAAACTTAAGAAATCAATATGTTTTCTTTAACATATTTCTCAATAAAGGAGGGAGGGAGAGAAAGGAGAGAGGATGGAAGGGAGGGAGGGAGAAAGGAAAGAAAAAAGTGAAAGAAAAAGGCTGTTTTAGACTGCACTTGGTGTTTCTGAACTGGACTAAAATGTCACTATCTGTAAAATATCACAGTCTTGTGATTCCCTCCACCCCACTGAAAATGTAAACACTATTTTTAGAACTACATTGAGACTGGGGGAGGTGGCAGGGCTGCTAAGTCCCAAAGCAGGAGCTGCCAGGGTTCCCTGGGTGTAATCGGTCCTTCCCACCCCAGGACCGGGCCAAAGCCGAGGCTTGGAACAAGAAGTTACGGAAGCAGCTGGCTGAGTTCCGAGCTCCACAGGTGATGGTGTACCTCCGGGAGAAGATCTTAAATGGGGACCTGGAGAAGAGCATCAGGATGTGGGAAAGGAAAGTGGAGATTGCAGAGGTGGGTCACAGAGAATCCCATCTTCTATGTCCTCAACATTTTGGTTTAGGATTTTGTTTTTTGAGCTAAGAATACAGATGTTTGGACATGTAATGTCTGTGAGAAATCTCAGCAGTTGCTTCAACTATTAAACCAAAACGAAGTATGATTTTTTTCAAAGCTCCTTTTTCATAGTTAGGAACAAGGTCTTTCCAGTTTTCAGGGAGAGACTATAGTAATAGTGTGTTTTTAGTTGCTTGTTTTCTTAATGAATTCTAAAAGCTTCTGAATCCCTCCATACAGTTGGTAATTTAGTGATTGATACTTTGTATGTGGAGAAGCCAGTTTTTTAAGAAATGAGATTAATATCACTCAGAGCTTGCTTCCATGCATTTACATAGTTGCCGTGGGTCTTTTATTTTTAACTAATCCTCAGCCTTTGAATATGCTGCAGTGTGCACAGGTAGCACTCTGGCTCCTCCTGAGCTGCATGAAAGAATTTACATAGTTGCCGTGGGTCTTTTATTTTTAACTAATCCTCAACCTTTGAATATGCTGCAGTGTGCACAGGTAGCACTCTGGCTCCTCCTGAGCTGCATGAAAGAAACGGGCAACATGAAAACAATACGCTGGTGTCAGAAAAAAGGAAAGCACTGAGACTGCCACGGCCAGTTTGCAGTCACTTAAGGCATGATTAGAGTAGCTTAAAAACCCAGTTGGGTCACTTGGGAAACCGAGAGCTTGGCGTTTCACATCTAAATCCCGATTCCATTTCCCATGTTACTTTCTCCTGCCTTTTCTGCAGCCATTTGGTGGCGGGGAATAAATTAGGGTCCAAACTTGGGCCTGTCAGATCTGAAGCTGGGAAGTAACAGAGAATCGCAGCAGCAACCTGCAACTTCCCACTTCACTGAACAGAAGCAAGCTCTTTAGAAGACTCTTCTAGGTGGATGCCAAGCCTTGGTTGCCCCCATACCATGCGTGAACCGTAGGGCACTGCACCACAGTAGGTCATCTGCACCATCAACAGGGCTGGATGAGAGTTGCATTCTGAATAATCACAATCAGTTCTTCCCAAGTGACCTCCCCCCTCCCTCTTTTTCCTTTTTGCAGATGTCCTTAAAAGGCTACCGCAAGGCTTGGAATAAAATGAAAACAACCAATGAGAAGTTGCAGGCAATTTGCCCCCCTGGGAAATAGCCAGATCCATTAAAGTATCAGCTCCTTTCTAGTCATGGGGTCCTCTCACTTTCCCTGTGCTGGCTGGTGTCCCCGACTCCCCAGCCAGGCTACCCATCACCTTCTGGGCCACATCTGCCCGTGAGGGGTGTTTTCAGAGTCTGGCCCCTGGAGCCTTTAACACTGAAAGAACCACAGGACACTCTAATGGTTTGATACTGTTAGCCCACATTTAGTTCACAAGCACAAATGAAAGTGACCTTCCCGCATGTGGGAGTGGGACAGAGGAGGGAGAGCCAAACCAGTGTGTGCCCTGAGCCTATCTGTGGCAGCCCAGGTGTGCAGCTATCAAAAACAGACACCAAAACAGCATGGTGAATAGCTGGCACTCAGCATCCTGAGCTTACTCTTCAGTTTGGGGGGTTAGCTCCTAGACCAGACACTGCTGCAAAAGAAAACAAGCACAAAGAAAACCAAGATAATTTCTTGGAGCTGATGCTTCCTGCACTGAACCCACCCTCCTCATTCTCCCCACCATAATAGTCATAGTACATGGGTTGTACAGCTGATTCCCTTATATTCTTTTCACTTAAGTCTAGATGATCTGTAGAGTTGTTTGCTAGCTGTGAATATGTGGTGGACATTGTTTGCCCTTGGAAGTCTGATTGGGACCATTCATTGTAGCTAAATGTAGTCTGTGTCTCCTGGGTTGGGGCATCATATGATTTCCGGGTGGAGAAAGGATTCATCTTCTCCCAGTGGTGGAGTGAAGACAGGGATAGGCTTGCCCTCCCACTCTTGGACATGATCCAGTTGCTGTAGTCTTTCACCATGGTGTACAGAAATAGACCAGGGCAGGACTCGCCACCTTGGGTCAGGATTCCTCTCAGGACCCACACATCCAACTGGTCTAGCTGGCACATCATTGGGCTTCCTGGGTCCCCCTGTGACAAAGGACAGAAGACTTCAAGACTTAGAAAAACTCGTTTTCTTTTTAAACATATCCTTATGCACTTTACTGTTTGTTCTAGAAATGTTTTACACTCATTCTTACTGCAAAAGGGGCAAATTATAGGATGCTATTTCAAACCTATGCAGCCACCACCACAAATTACAACAAGATGACTTTTTCTTTTATTACGCAAGTTACCTGTGGACTTCTGCAGATTGCCTGTAGCTTCCTGTTTCATATTTGATTTTCTTGTTCCTTTACAGTACTTTGACTAAATCTTCCCTCTCCTTTGGCTTCTCATTTCTCAAATGTTGGTATTTCTTCCCTTTCTGGCCTGGACTGCTCACATTTCCCCTTCTCTTCTCTGTCTTGCTTTTGTCCTTAGTTTAAGCTGCTCCCTCCCACCTGCAGTCCTGCACGGAGCACACACTGGGTGAGGTTCACAGCTTTTCCACCTGCTCACCCACCCTGCCTGCTCTTGGCCTTGCCTCGAGTCCTCTGGGACTTGGGCATTCTGCCACATATACCATATCTCACTTAGGGTGAGTGGGTAGAAGGTTGGCACACTTAGCTAGATACGTAACCCTGGACAAGTGGCCTAATTCTCTCTGAGCCACAGCAGGCATACAGTTAATGCCTGTAACACGCAGAGCACCTGGCGGCGTGCCTGAAGCACCGTACGCCCTCAGTGAGGTATTAGCTACCATCATCATGATGTCTGTAAAAGACCATCATTTTTCTGTGAAAAGGTGAGAAAAATTGGAAAAGCAACAAGACGACTACTAGATGTGATTTACCTTACCTGCCCCACCACCTGCCTCC